TCGAGCCACCCCCGATCCAGCCGCTGCTGAAACTGACCAGCAGTGGCTGAATCAGGGACGCCTGGGGCGGAGCCGGACTATTGGAAGGGGGGGGCTATGAGGGGTCTGGGGTGGCATCCCCCCCACCCCAGATCCCTCATAGCCCCCCCTTCCGATAGTCCGGCACATCTGATAATCTGGCACCCCCTGGGTCCCAAAGGTGCCGGATTATCAGAAGTTTACTGTACTTCATATTACACAGAGTCAGCCTGTGGAACTCCTTTCTAGGGGATGTTGTGAAGGCCGTAACTGTAACTGGGTCCAAAAAGAATTAGACAGGTTCGTGGAGAATAAGCCCATCAATGGTGATTGGCGAAGACGGTCAAGGTTATGCTCTGGGTGTCCTTAAGCCTCTGATTGCCAGATGCTGGGACTGGACAATAGGGGATGGATCATTTGATGATTGCCCTAGTCTGTTCATTCCCTTTGAAACATCTGATATTGGCCGTTTCTGAAAGACAGAATAAATGGTCAATTGATCTGACTCAGTCTGACCATTCTTAGGTTGATCTTATTGTGCCTATGTCAGGGACTAGAGCGACAGTGCTCATGTTATGGATTTTTCATGCCCATGAGCACCATAGCTACATAGCTTCCTTGATCCCATTTCCTAATTGTTGTTGCATAGGAATAGTGTAGTTGAGTGCTGTTCTGACTGCCAGTTATCCCCAGCAGTGGGTGAAGTGATGCCCAGCATTCTGTCCTCTGTGGAAAGGCTACAGATGGTGACCTCACAATCAAGTGTCTGCTGTGTTGTGCAGTGGGAAACTGAACCAGAGATACCGTCTTCTAAAAGTGCACATTACAAAACCCCTTGGAACACTGCATCTGCGTAAAACCAGCGGCTAGATGTACACGCTGCCGCCTCCTCCACCCCACTCAAGTAGCTCAGTTTACCTGGAGTCCTGTTGTCAGACTCCCTGGATGCAATACTAGATGGTCCATGTGACCAATACCAGTGACCATGCCAGTCTCCCTTAAACCTTCTAAGCTCCGGAAGTGCAGGGTTTATATCAAGTTGCCTCCATAGGATAGGAGAGAGCTACAATGCCACTGAAGTGCAGCTCCCCTCCGAACTGTTTCTGGCCCCTCTCCCATGCCTAAAGCATAGGCGATCAGACCTATAGTCTCTGTCATTTTTTTAAAAATACCCTATGTATTAATTTCTTCGCTATAAATATTTATCAGCTATTTATTTATTGCTTGAAGTAGTATCAGCAGCTCACAATTTTTTCTGCTTCAAGCAAGATTTAGAAACAAAACCTTTCACATCCAGTAAACAGCAAATGAACATTTAAATACTTCGTACATATTTCTTTCCTATGAGCCATGGATTTATTAGCAGTATAGGAGAAGTCACTGTGGCTTATAACTGAAATTCAAAGACAACTTGCAAAGAACATATTTCAGCAAACTATAAGCTTATGGTTTTTTTGTCTTTCAGCTTGTACCTCCATTTAAACCACAAGTTACATCTGAAACAGATACAAGATATTTTGATGAAGAATTTACAGCACAGATGATTACAATCACTCCACCTGACCAAGGTAAAGTTTTCCTACTATTTATTTCTTTCAGTTTAGAGTCACCCCAACATAACATTTTCAGTAGTGTTATTTGGCCTAATAGAAAATATGAAAGAAAATTCTGTTCAGATTCATCTGTGTTTCTTTTTGATATGCAGTAATTAAACTGTGTGTTTATACTTGGTCATGATGTTATATGGGTCCATACTAGCTCTATTTTTGGGATGTTTAGGAATCTGGAACTGAATGCACCCCAGGCCCATCACTGATAGTATCAGAAAGTCTGTTATCCAGGGGATGCTCTGTGAGCTATATCAGTGTTTCTCAACCTTTTTTTAAATTTTTTTAATAAAGCAACCCTTCCCCCCCAAAAAAAATAAGTACCCCTAGTACCTACATTTTTTGGGGACACACAGTTTTTTTTCTACCATTACAACACATTTGTTTAAACAACTTAATCGTAGCTGGGCAGGTGATTAAATTTTTTGATGTAAAAAGTACAAAAATGATAAAGCGTTGTAAAACTTAAAACAAAAATTCAGTTTTCTCTAAATTTCAGTTGTGTTGACATACCCGCCCTGGACTTCTCTCGAGTACCCCTAAGGGTACTCGTACCACTGGTTGAGAAACACTGAGCTATGTGATTCAATGGTCTTGAGTCCCTATCCTTGTAAATGCCTCAACAAGAAATGCTGTAACTAAGACCATTATTAGTAGCCTCAGCAGACAAGCCAGGTATTAACTGGGCATAGAAATTGAACTGCTCTCTTAAACCCTAGTGAAGGTCTCTCCAGCTTAGTGTATTCTTCCCAGCTAAATTTCAGTCTGGTGCTTTTCCTGGGCATAAAATGTCATAAGCAGAACTTGAGTGGAAACTGGATTTTTTTTGTTGTGGGGAGTTCTACGAGTTCAAAATGTAGTTTCTGTTCTGAAATGGAACTAAAACAAAATACACGAAACACCTTGCAAAATGAAATTCTGGGGAAAAAACGTCAGGCAGGTTGAAATGCTTAGTTTTGTAAGATAAAAAGTTTCATTCTAATTTTGACATAGTACAAAAATCATAATATAAAATAAAAGTTAAAGTTGTTTCAAAATAAAAATATAAGAGTTTCATTCTGAAAATGTCAGAACACTTTGCATTGCTACTTTTCCAAATGAAAAAATATTCAAATTGACAAGCTTCCACAAAACATTTAGTTTTCAATGAACTGGCATTTTCCAACAGAAAAACATTCTGTTGGTAAACTTCCAACCAGTAATATTCATAAGCTTTAAAATGCATACATATATACATTGTGTGTATTGACACTGATTGCATAATTGCTAATGTGCTTTTTAAATTTAAGTATACTCTATTTCCATGGTAACTTAGCATTCACTTTATACCGCTAGACACCGAGGGGTGAAAATTCAGTACAGTGAATATGGATTCAACCATACAGCTCACAACAATATTAAATGGACACCAACAAAGCTACATCTCAGTGCTGAAAATTAACTTCTTACATTAAATAAAGAGTCAAGGCAGGTCTTAAGTTTGATACTTTTCTGTTGCTAGTTTTAGCTATAATTTTAATTTGGGATGTACGAGGGAAGCTACAATGCATTTGTTTCAAGATTTTAAAAAGAATAGAAATTAATTATTTTCATATCAAAGTATATGGGGCATTATTCAATGTGTAAAACTGATTTTTTTTGTTTGCAGATGACAGTATGGATTGTGTAGATAATGAGAGAAGACCTCATTTTCCTCAGTTCTCCTATTCAGCCAGTGGAACAACCTAATGTTTTGCCTTTTTTCCCATTCAGAAACAAAACAGACTACATTTTGGGGACCTTATTTCAATGGACACTAGAAAACTGTCTATATTATCTGAATTACAAACTGTGTTTGTACTGCAATTTCCATGAATTTGTAGGAAGTCTCACAGATTCTGTATTTAAAACAATTCTCTGATGCAGTTTTAAGAGAACAAATCCATTCTTAAATGTTAAGTCAAGCTTTTATGCTGGATGACTAGGTTTTTAAGAAAATGCACCAAAACGGTTTACATTAGAAATAATTAAGATACACAACATATCAGCAACACTGACCATAAAAATCCCTTTAATTTATTTCATACAATTCATTATCTAAATATAGAATCTGCATTTTGAACAATTAGATTTACTTAGGAAGCTATAAAGACTTTAGAAGCTAGTGCAATAATATAAGCAACAAAGTGAACAAATTCTGGAGAGTTAAAGGTTCAAACTTGCTTTGGACAGCTATGAAGTGTCATCCTACTCCAGAAAAATCAACTATAGGAACAGCATTAATGGCCTCAGTGAGGTAATTCAATAAACAAGAGTTATTTTGTTATAACATCTGCTACAAGACATTACATATCAAATTGAATTCTGTGGAATCTAGTCCATTTCTACATCGCACAGATGAGTATGCCATTTAAGATAGTGCAGTTAATTATTCCATTTGTCTAGAGTTTAGAAGTATTTAATAGGATTGGCTTCTCAAAACTTAGAAAACAGTCTGACCAATCTAATTTAAAATGTGATACTGCAGAATTGCCCCCATTTTGTACAGTGTATAAAAAGCCACACACAATTCTAAGGGAGAAATCTCTCTTAATGAATGAATCCACCGATCAGAAGTAAATTTCTGGCACTGAAGTTATAACTTGTTGCCACTTTTAAAAAGAAAAGATCTATAAGCAGTTAATTTTTGCATCATGACAGACAATTTCCTCTTTCTTCAGTGTGCATTAAAGGTATCAGGCAACTCTCAGTGGTGCCTTCTAACTCTTAAAAGAAGCACTTTAACAGTGTTTCCCTTGTATAGGAAAAAAAGAAACTAGGTTGAATCGTTCTCTGTGTTTGAGTAATAGGGTGTTAAAGTGAATATTTTTTGTTTTTAATCTTAGTGAAAAATATTCTCCCACCCTTTTTTTTGTTGTTGTATCATGTTTCTTTGTAACTTTCGTAAAAACAGTCTTATTCTGCCTCTATTGCCCGAATGACTTTATTCCATTGTAGGTTGCATTCTTTTAGATTGCTTTTGGTTTTCATTCTATTGGCTGTATGAAAATGATGAAATGTATTGCAGTTAATTAGCATTTATTTTTTTAATTTGGAAGTGAGCATGCCCTCACTTCCCCTTTCCATGATAAACTATTGTGGTCCCGCACAGAGAGCCCATCGCCGTGACTTTTTTTTTTTACACAACATTCAACTCTAGTATTTTTACTTATGATATGATATGGAAGTTTCCCTCTAAATACATAAATAAAAATTGCTTAAATGAGTTAGGTGCTTATTTCTTTTGATAGCTGTGTGGAGTCTGAGAAATGTAACAGCTGTTCTCAAATTTCTCTCCATCCTTCCCAGATCCAAACTCTTAACACACACACACCCCACTGAGAGTGGAATTTGCCTTCCTTACACTCCGTCCTTTGCTTGCCTTTAGTACCAGGTGTTTACAGCAGTCGCTTGTTAAAGAAATAATTCATTGTGCACTGGGAGATCTTCTTTAGTGGTGATGAAAAAGGAAGGGACCCACTATGCCGTATTTAGCCGTATTTAGTTCCACTCATCTCAGTGGGACTAATCATTAAAAGTCTGCAGGATCAGGACACATGAGCTCTTTGTGCAAGGAAGGACAGGACTATAATAAAGATGTGACATGTCGGAATGTTGCTCACTCTTCATTTCTTCCACTACTCACCTGAGTCAGGGCTACCAGACTCTTTGACTCCAGGGGCTCCTGTTAAAAAGGTGTTTCCTCTCCTTGAAAATGCTGATAAAACATGCTGTGTTTTTTTAAAAACAATCCATTTGAAGTTAACCGTGGATGCTGCAGCTGAGCAATATGCAACTTCGCACCCAAACCGATCTGTTTGGTTTAAGTAATAGGCTGTAATTCCAGAAGAGTTTATGGTCCCACCAAAGCTCAAGTTCTTACTGGGCAGCGTAAGTATTTCTCGCTAGTCTTCTTCACCCAACCAAGCAATAATAATTAAACCTTGAGGTGGGCTAGGAACCATCAGCATTTGTCTGTGTAATCACATGAAATTTTGTGGGACAGAGTGGGGTCTGTTTCCTTGCAAAGAGATGCCTTCAGTCTGAGCAAAACCACATGCCCCATCCATCTGAATAACATACCTGATAATTTTGTTGCTCTTGAACCTGTCCCTAGGTTTGTGTTAAGAAATGGAGCCAACCAGGACACCAAGACCAAAGAGGACTAACTTAGATGAGCTAGCAATCTTCAAATCAGCAGGCCTGATGAAATACATCCTAGAGTATTCAAGAAGCTGACTGAAAAGATATCTGAACTATTAGCAATTCAAAAAAAAATCATGAAAGAGATTCCAGAGGACTGGGAATTACGATCAATTAACTTCAGTATCCTAAAAGATACTGGAGCAAATAATTAAGCAATCAGTTTGCAGACACCTAGAAGATAATAAGGTGATAAGTAACAACATGGATGAATCAAGAATCAGTTGTGTCAAACCAACCTACTATCTTCCTTTGACAGAGTAACAAACCTTATGGATGGGGAGCCAATAGATGCGATATATTTTGACTTTAGTAAGGCTTTTTGTCCTGTTTCACATGATCTTCTCAAACAATCTAGGGAAATACAATCTAGATGGAGCTTCTGTATGGTGGTGCATAACTAGTTGGAAAGGCATTCCCAGAAAGTAATTCAAAGACTCTGTCAAGCTGGAAGGGCATATCAGGTGGGCTCCTACAAGAATTCGTTTTGGACCAGGTTATGTTCAACATTTTCATTGATTTTTTTAGATGATGGTATAGAGAGTACATTTGTAAAGGTTATGGACAATACAAGTACAAGGATCTGGAGAAATGGTCTGAGGTAAATAGGATGACATTCAATAAGAACAAATGCAAAGTCCTCTGTTTAGAAAGGAACAAATCAGTTGCACACAAATAAAATGGGAAATGACTATTTAGGAAGGAGTACTGCAGAAAGGCATCTAGGCGTCATAGTGGATCATAAGCTCAATATAAGTCAACAGTATAACATGGTTCCAAAAAAAGCAAACATCATTCTGGCATATATTAGCAAGAGTGTTGTATGCATGACATGAAAAGTAATTTTTCTGCTCTCCTCCATATTGATTAGGCCTCAGTTGGACTACTAGGTCCAGGTCCAGGCACCACATTTCAGGAAAGATGGACAAATTGAAGAAAACCCAGAAAAGAGCAACACAAGTGATTAAAGGTCTAGAAAACATGATCTATGAAGGAAGATTGAAAGAACTGGGTTTGTTCAATTTGGAGAAAAACTGAGGGGAAGGGACATATCAGTTTTCAAGTACATAAAATCTTGTTACAAGGAGGAGGGAGAAAAATTGATAGGACAAGAAGCAATGGGTTTAAATTGCAGCAAGGGAGGTTTAGATTGGACCTTAGGAAAAACTTCCTAACTATCAGGGTGGTTAAACCACTGGAATAAATTGCATAAGGATGTGATGGAATCTTCATCAGAGGTTTTAAAGAGCAGATTAGACATACACCTCTCAGGCACTGTCTAAATCGGGTGGGCAACAATTTTTGATGGGTGGGCCACTCCAAGATTTTGGAAAGTGGTTGAGGGCCGCACTCTTCCATGATGATATTGGAGATGCGGGGTCCGGGATGGAGGTTGGGTGCAGAAGGGAGCTTGGGGTAAGAGACTGGGGTGCAGGAGGGAGACGAGTCTGGGAGGAAGCAGGCAGTTGTGACCTAGGGCAGGGGACTGGACTGCAGGGGTTTGGGATGTTACCTAGGGTTGGAAGGAATTGTGATCTGGGGCAGGAGATTGGGGTGCCAGATCTGGGAGGGGGTATGGGTGTAAGATGGGGGGAGAGGGTTTGGCTATGTTGAGGGGGGGCACAGAGTTGGGGCAGGAAAGAGCTGGGTTGCCAGAAGCAGACTTGTGGCCAAGAGACTTACTTGCCAGCTGCCAAACTAGCCTGCCTGCAGAGCTTAAAATGTTTCCCAGCCAGTGCTAGCCTGCCTGGCCATGTGCTTCATGAATAACTGAGCCCAGGAGAGGTGGCATGATTCTTCTTAGCTGCCTGTTATTCTAAAAAGCAGCTCCCATTGGCTGGGTTCCTTTAAGTAGAAACCAGCCAATGGGAATATGCTAGGGGTGGGGTGGCTCCTAAAACTTCCTCCCACCCTCCAGTTTTAAAACAGAAACAGCCCTGCAGCCAGGTTTCTGCACAGTGCAGGGGAGACTGCCTGGGGCTCCCTGCTACCTCTGCAGGCTGCATGCGGTCCGCAGGCCACATTTTGCCCAGGCCTGGTCTAAATAATACTTAGTCCTGCCTTGAGTGCAGGGATCTGAACTAGAAGCCCTTTCAAGCCCTATAGATTTACGATTCTACAATTTGTGTGACAAGTTCTGAGCCAAGGTAAATGCAAATGCATCCTAATACAGACTGTAGTTACTTCTGCCTATTTTGTTGAAAGCTCCAAAACAGAAACCTTGCCTTCCAAATGCAGAAACAGTGTCAGCAAACCAAGGTTCTCCATCTCAGATGTTCTGGAGAAAAGTTGTCTCACTGGGGTGTTTTGCCAGTTTGTCATAACAGATTCTGTCTCAACAGAAATCAACAAATCAGCAAGAAACTACTGTTTCACTGTTACCATAGGCTTCATTAGTCTCCAATCTTCCCCCCATAGTGTGGTCCATAGTGTGGTTAATAGTGTGTCTTATGGATCATCTCCCTTCCCATTTGTGATCACACAGTCCATCTTGCCTCTGATTTGTATGACATCCCATGGCAGTGGCACCTGCTTACATGGAAATGCAACATTTTTGCTTTCATTATGACTTAGTAGATGAAGATAGGAGGGTCAGTTGCATGTCAATCACTGTGGACAAAACTTCACCATCTCACCTGTTGCTTGGGTGTTATCTTTGACTCTGCCTTCTCTCTAGGTCCCCACATCAAGGATAGTCTTGCAGATTCTTTCTGAATAATAGCTCTAAGGGCCCGTCTATACTAGAACGTTACAGGGGTGCAGCTGCACAGATGCAGCTGTAGCGCATCTGGTGGAGACGCACTATACTGACGGGAATGCTCTTCAGTAAGCATAATTCCTCCACTCCCGCAAGAGACTGAGGCTATGTTAGCAGGAGACACTTTCCCATCGACTTAGGACCAGCACTTAAGTCAATGTAACTTATGTCTCTCAGGGGACTGTCTTTTTTACACCCCACAGCAACGTAAGTTGCATTGACTTAAGCAGTAGTGTCGATCAAACATAAGATACAGCCTTTCCCTATGCATGCATTAGCTAAAACTCTCAGGATTTTATTCTCTCAACAGAACAAAACTTCTGCCTCCCCGCAAGCAGGGATTTAGGATGAAGTTTGGTCTTCCCTATTGTAGGTTTCCCTGCAAAGTTACACTGAAGCTTATCTGACGTGTGCATCCCATGTATTGTGGTTGAATTCATGTCTGAAATAGCTGATTGTAAGCTTTTCAGATCAGATACTATTTTGTTCTTATTTTCATTGCCCAAGTATGTTTATGGTAGCCCATACGTCTGTTTAAACCTTGCCTTATAAGAGCTTATTACTGTGTTGCCTCTCACTACAGAAGTGTGCATGGCTCTTCAGAGAAATAAGGAGGTCCCGACCTAATCTGTTATGATTTTTTATTTCCCTAAAGCTGAACTGTTTTTTAAAACATTCTGCATTTAGTCTTTTGTGTCAGATCTGTGTGGCAGGAATGGCATCTGCTCTGTTCTTGTGCAGCACTGAGCAAGTTATCGGCTCTCAGCAAAATAATAATGGTTCTGATTTGTCAAAGCAATCTGGGACTTAGACACCAATTTCAATAGAAGAGGAGTCTAAATCTCCTAGACTGTTTTGACATCTCAGTCAACAATTATAATATCTCCATTCAGCTTACCGATTGAAGAAAATGGGTGAGGAGAGATGTCAAATTTCTGAAAAGGAATTGTCATGAGCACGTGCTTTGTCGAATCAGGGTATTAATACATAATTGTCAACTCTGCTGTTTGTCTCAAAATTGAAGTGATTTGTGTACTACCTTGTGGAATATGTTAGAGTGGACATGAAAATGTGATGGATAGATGAGGACATTTGTTCACATTGCTTCATTCTGTTTCTAGAAGCCCAGACTATTGTTAATTGTGTTGGACTCATTATCCTATACATATTGTTGTATTACTCAAATACACTACCTCTGTTTTAATTAAAGAATACTGTTACATTCAACTTCCAAAAATGTTTAATTGCCTTTATATTTAGATTATCTTCTTGGTATGTTTAGCTCCCTCACATGAATTGCAATAGGATGTATAGATTTATTATTATGTACAAGGTTAGGATTCAAATGCCACCCAGCTGGTTAGCAGGACACTCAGCTTGCAGCACATGTTTCTACTAGTGGTGCAAATCCATACATATGTTGGTTCACACAAAATTTATTCTGCATATGGATCTAAAAAAGGATCGGAAACCATTTTGGAGGGTAATTCTCAAATGTAGGAAAACACTTCTGCCGCTTGCATTTTACAATCTAATAGATACTGTCTGGATCACCTGATTAGCTGCTGTTGAATCTGAATAATACAGATGTGATCCTGGTCCAATAGGGGAAATGAAAAGAGGAGATGCAGATTTCACCCAGAATATTTTCAACAGAAGGACTATGGCTGCTTTTTTACTGGGATTTGATTTCCAGGCAATGTCTACACTGAGAAGGTTTGATGACAAAAGTTCTGTCGACATGCAAATGTGAAAACGGGTCAAACTGTTTTTTCTGCCTCCCATTGTTGGCATTTTTTGGCCATATTGCTAGCACCCTGTGGATAGAGAGAGCAAAGCAATGTGGGTAAGCATCCTTCAGTGCAGTGTTGTGGGAAGCTGGAGCTGATCCCTGCACTTCTTGGGAGTCTCTGAGTTCTCCCACAGCATTCTTGGCTGCTGGGAACAGCATCATGAGTAGCTCTGTGAGCTCTCCATGCTGAGGAATGTCAAAGCAGCACTGCAGTCTCTCCAGCCTTCCCCTGCAGCAGCAGTCTGAGTGCTGCTGTGTTTCTAGCAGGGCAGAATTGGAAGCATTCCAATGATTTGCTCTTTTTGTCCATTCCCCTCAAACAGAGCAGCTCTTTCAGCTGACGGATACTTCCCAGAGCTTTGAAAAGGGAAGGGGGTGTGCCTGAAGGGCAGCAGAGAGCACAAAACACCGAGTACAGCCATCAGGGCAGGCATTGTGGGATACTGGTGGATGCCAGCTCTCTTGACAGAGTCCACACTGGCTCTTTGTCGACAAAGGGAGGGGAAAAGACTCTTGCAGGGGTGGAAGATTTTTGTCACCAAAACGGTGTTTCTCCCGACAAAAGTTGTGTGGTGTGGCGCAAGGTATTCTCATTGAATAGCCGTGTGCTCTGAAATTTAGCTTCTAACCTCAGTCCAATAATGCAAGTTCGAGTCCTCACATGCAGTTGCAAGGCCTTTCTCTGCATTCTGGCTTGAAGTGTAAAGGTGATTTGAGGTTCAGCCTGAAGCCTTTTTTGAGTATCACAGTTCATTTGTTAATGTTGCATTGATGGATTGCACCCACATGGCTTCATAGCACTTGTACGTGTGCAGAGGAACCATAGCAGGTGTATTTTTATAAACTGGAATAATAAAAATGCAGAGAGATAGTGCTGTCAGGGAAGATGAGGGAAGGATGCAATAGGAATTGTCATGATTCAATTGCCACAAACAATCCTGTTTGTTTTTTGTAAACAGTCACACATTTTATAATATAAAAATTATTAGTAAAGTGTAGGCACTAGAGTAAGAACGGATTGCACTGTGGAGGTCAGGGTGAGTTCAAGCTAAGCGACATAGAAGAGGATTTGAAAGAGACCTGTAAGGTCATTTGGTGCAAATGAAGAAAACCAGAGGGGAAAGCATGAGAATAAGACAGAGGCCAGAGCCCGAGAACAGGAACAACAGGTTTATTTATGCAGGTGGAGTAAGCACAATATGATGCATGAGTATTTGAGGCAAGCCATGGCTAACTGGGAGGCAAGTGATTCTCAGCTGTAGTACACCAGCAGCAGCTC